CATGTCCGTATGGGGAAGGTTGTTACCTTAATTGCATTCAGTCATTACATAAAAGAGTGTCAATGAGGAGCTGTAACTACTCAGGAGTTTAAATTATGCCCTGACGTGACGTTATTGTCCTGGCCTTGCACACTTCTGTGGGTGTACTTCTGAAGGAGGTGGCTTTTGTTGCTCCAAGCTGATGACTCCTCTCAAGAAGTTGTTCTCTCCATCAAGGTGACATTCTGGAATGACAGTGTGACACGTCACTGAGGAGGAGGAGAAGTGCTTAACAAGGAACTGCGACTTCAGTGTGATGTTTCCCCATACTGCCAGTCTTTTGCAAAGGAGAATGTTTGTGATTCTCCAGGGTTTCCTGTGGCATCACTCCTAATAACCATCCTTTTAATCACAAAGAGAAGTTGTATCCTCTTAACAGCTGTACCTTCAAACAGACTGAGAAAGGGCCTGTTTTAGCTCCCTGTCTTGTCCCAGGATGTCTCAGACTGCAGGTCAAGGAGAACTAGGTTGAATGATTTGTAATAACAGATTAATTTATATTAAATACCCAGACATACTGGACAGACAGTGAATCTTAAACTGAGATACCAGTGCTCTGATTGCCCTATCAAAGATGCTCAGTGCTTCCAAAATATGTTGTCCCTTTGAGGTCTCCTGACCAGTATTGGGTACTTCCTTAAAAAAGGTGTGTAAACAGGTCTTACCCAGAGTGTCCTCTGACTCTTGTTGAGTGTCTGCTGCTTCACATTTGTAATTCATGCAGAGGCTGTAATGGAGGAGTGAGCTGCTGGGCTGGATTTAAATGATGCACTGATTTTTCACAGCACTACAAGAGGGTGATGCTTCTGGCATGTTTAGCTTCTGTGTCTGTTTTGGGGAGCCTGTGAGCAAAGGTGTCTGCTGTTGGTGGGACAGGACTGATAATCAAGTTCCCTACAGAGGCAGCAGCTTTTCCCCAGAACTGGAAATCTGCAAGAACCTTTCCTCTACCTCCCATTGCTTCCTGACAATGTGGTAAAGGGCTGATCCTCAGGTCTGGAGCAGCACCTGGATAGATCAAGTGGGATAGTCCAATTAGGACTACAGTTTGTGGAAAATGTGTTCAGTGACTTTCACCTATATGTTGTAGGGACTGAAAGCAGCTGCACTGACTAGATACAACTTAATCAGTGCTAGGTGTCAGCTGCACTACAGTGTTAACCTACTGGTAGGACACACTTGTAATAAATAAATAGGATACATCAGGGAAGGTTAGTTTGTTGTATTTTTTAGCAAGGAGCAGATTTGAAAGACTTTGGTTTAGGGGCTGCAGGATTTCTTTGCGCTTAGGTCTAAGTGAACGGAAATTTTCAACTCCGCAAGTGCAGCTGGATGAATAATTTGTAGTGAATAATATATCTCAAGGCTTTCACTGCATTTGGGATTGACAGAAAACACATCACAATTTTAATTATTGGGAATGATTTGCTGAAATATTCAGGAGCTATTTTTGATTCCTGCAGACTGTGCATGAAAAAGTTAGCTATTTAAAAGCCAGACTCTTGTCCCCCCCACCCCCTCCTCTGTGCTACTGTCTGGTCTCCTTTCCCCATATAAGCTTCCCAGAGCAGGGCAACAGGACTCCCTGCATCCTGGCTTGAGACTTAGCACACAGGGACCTCAGAATACAATAATAATAATAATAATAGTAATAATAATAACAACTTATTGGAAGTCTTCCTACCCTTACACTAAGCAGAGGGCATGAGGGGGATCAGGAGGTTGGTTTATTGGCCTCTTGAGGTGCTTGTAGAGCTGAGGGCTTTCCATGTGACTGGGGTGGGAATCTGCAGTGTGGAGAACAGAGACTTTTGAAGAGGCAAAGAAGTATTACAAAAATATTATGTTTCTTCCTCTCCTGTACTTTTAACAGCTTTGAAACAAGCAAAAGCTCAGCACTGGCCATCAGCAATTCAGGGTGTTATCTGAACATTATACTACAGGGATGTTGGGGTAATCCAGACTCCTAATGTGGGGAGCTAGTGGTGTAACCAGTTTCCTGAAATACTGGAACCAGCTATTTTCCATCCTGACCCTCTTCCCCTCCTCTTAGCTCCCCACAGGGAGGCACCCCACTGCTGCACCATAGGCCATCCCCATGGGACACAGCTTGCTGCCCACTGCTGCAGGGGAGAGCTGGCTGGGGAGGGATGCAGACACTATGAAGAAAATAAGGGAGAAACAAGCTTCCTTCAGGAAGAAGGATAGGAATAATTGAAATATAAATTTTACTTCTCATCTACAAAGAAAGCAAGGCAGAATTTTTAAAACGAATGGATAGGGATGAATAAAAATGTAATTTTCCTGAATAGCTGAAATAACCAGAAAGTGAGGAAGGAGATGCAGGTACAGATCACGAAGCTTTGCCTGGGCTTCTGTCGGCTGCTCTCTAAAATGCTTTGCTACCCTCTGGTGGCTTCCTGAGGATCTGTGCAGTCTGGTTTCCATCCCTTGTACAGTCCCCTGCCAACTTTCTGAGCTGCATTGAGGAACCGGGATCTGCTGATGGAGGTTTATATTTTTCTCTGATTCCAAAGCAGCTGTACAATAATAATGAAACTGCAGCTTTGTGGTTTTATTTTTTTATATTGGATTTCTGGGTTAGATTTTTTTTTTTTCCTGTTGTTTGTATGCACTCTCTTTTGGTCTACAGTTATAATCACAAAGGTAGCTTGGTTGGGATGCTCAAATGAAGGAATAATAGCTTTGTAGGTCGGTTGTCTGCATAGTGGGGCTGTTTGTGTCCTGCAGAATGCAAACCCTTGTCCTCTACTTACCTGCAGAGGACACGAGTACCAGTGAAATCAGTAACAGCCAACCTCCCATGATCTCCAGGAGTTCAGAACAGGTCCTGCTCAGCCTGCTGCAGGGGCAGTGTTGAAAACTCCATCATCCTTCTTCACTCAGTAGCTTCTTGTTTTTTCCTTTTTCCATCTTCTGTGTTCTTTAATTGATTTTCCATTGTGACTTCATAGCAGAGAAGCTGTAGGAAGGGATTTAAAGGGCAGATTTTGACAGATTTTACAAGAAACTCCTCCCAGGTATTAATTCCTGGGTTATGGGGTCAGAGAGGCTCTTGTGATCCTTCAGTTTGACGTCCTGTGGAGTGCAAGTCACAGGACTGCCCTCAATTGACTCCTGCTTGAAGTGCAGCGCTGAATGAAGAAAACATCCCCTCTTGCTTTAAAACTTTCCAGTGATGGAAGATTCAGCTTGTTAAATTCTTCCACTGCTTTATCACCTTAAGCAATAAATACTTCAGAACTTTGCTTTGTTTTCTTTCAGCTTCCAGCTTTGGGTTTTTTTGTTGCTTTGTGCATTTGGGAAGCCATGTGTTGCCAGAACTCTGTCCTGTGTAGGACTCATGGTCTTCACAGAGTTGCCAACCAGGTGGAGCTCTGAGAGGTACCTTGGTTTTAAGAAGTGAAAAGTTGTTAATGTTATTGACTGAGTAGGTGTGGGGTGGTATGTGAAATCACAAACTTATCACCCAGAAGGCACATGAAAAAAGCAAAACCAAAGCCAAAAATGGGCATGATGGGGAGTGTGTGCGCTCTCCCCCAGTGTTTGTCTGCACTGGATGTTTCTAGTGTTTACATACTTAAAACAAACACTTAGGGACTACTTATGCAGGTTTTCAAATGAAATCTTATTGCAAAAGTTTTGCAGAGGTTGAGTTTTATGAGCACTTTCTTGAATTACAGAAATATTTTTTGTTTTGAGTGCATTGTTTTTGTAAATCAGCTGTGCTGAGGTACTTTGGGACCTAGGGTGCTACATTCAGCAGAATTGCTGTTAGCTTCTTACGCTGTTCCAATTTATGGTACATTTTATGAGCAGCTCCATCTATCTCACAGCTTGGCACAGGTTTGGAGTGGAGAGCAGCCAGTGCTTTTTGTGCTGGATTAGTCTATAAAAGCCCTGAGAGAGAGTATGACCACAAGCCTGGCGGGCAGTAAGCCCAGCTATAAGGCCATCTTAAAGGAAAACAGCTTCTTGTGGTTCAGGCAGAGGAAAGGGATGCAGTAGATTTGGGTTACTTCAACCACAGGATATGCTGTGACAGCAGATGACCAAACTTCTTCTGTGGCTTGACCTCCATCAAGTAAAACTTGCTGTTTTTAAAGCCACTTGAAGCCCTACAGGAGATGGTGGGAAGTCAGTGAGTGTGGAGGTGTGGGACAGGCTTTTAGGTTTCAGAGTCTTGCCTCTGCTTGGCAGGGCGCTGAGCCCAGCACACAGCAGCAGCAGTCCTCAGTGCAGAGCCACTTGTAATGCAGCTCCTTCCATGGCCTTGGGCTGCTCGTGTGAGGCTCTGGGAGCTGCTTATCCCAGTCCTGCTGCAGTATCCCTGCCTGTGAAGTGGGGACAGAAATGCCAACCTCAGCGTCTCTGCCAAGGCGGACTGGAAGGATTTGTGAACGTACACAGCTGTTGTGGGAACTGCTCTGCTGTTGATGTTCAGCACACCCAATCTATCTTCTGGCATTGATGCTTTCTAAACCAAAAAAGTGTTTTGAGCTGATGCCAGTAGTCATGGGTATGTCTTACAAGATCTTTTGCAGACAGATTGAAACTTGTTTGGACTGCGTTTTAGGCTGGCTGGACTCAGTCTGCTTCAAGACTGCAGGCTGTGTAATTACACAGCCGGGGTGTCTGAGCTGATAAATCCAGTCTCCCAACAGACATTAATAGCCAAATGTGGTGCTTTGCTGACACCCTTACAAGGCTTTGGGACTGGAGATAGTTTACACCCCTCCTTCTTAAGGAAACTTCTCACTTGACAATAAAAGGAGCGTGGACACTTCTGAGAAGAAAGCATGTGCCCCAGCCTTTGAAAGCCCTGTACTCTCTTCCCAAGAAAACTAAGGGGTTGGTATAGAGTATCAAACTTGAGAAGGCTTCAACTAAAGTGGTTTACACTTTAAAATCATTTTTACTTTCAATGTCGATCTTGTCAGACCACAGCTAGTTCTGAAGGAAGACGAGATGCAGACTGACAGCCTCCAAGTCAGGCAGTAAGGGAGGTGACAAGGTATGTATGTGAGCACCTCTGCAGACGGGACCCTGCACTGCTGCATTCCTCCCTATACAGCCTGTCTGTGTAGTGATAGGAAATGATTTTCCTGCAGGAAATCATGAGTGTTTCAGGAAATGAGTATTTCTGGCAGCAAGGAAGCGCTTGGCAAGCTGAGGATGAGGGCATATCTGTGATCACTGGGAGTTCCTGAAAGCTGTTTCTTTCCCAGCTGCTTGTACAAGAGGGCATCAATAATGGAGGTGTGAAAAAGTAGAGAAAGAAGCAGTGAATCACCTACCACTGCAAAAGGATAGGGAAAAAGATAAAGGGAAAAGAGTCCTCCAAGTCCTTAGAAATAGTCTTTCTCATCAGTTTTAGAAACAAAACTGGCAATGTTCTTTCTTAGGAAAGAACAATCCCATCTACAAAATTCACCAGTGTGGTTTGGCTTCTTAGTACTGAGGGGGAAAATGCACTTTGGAAGCTGTATTCCTCCCTGTTTTCCAGGGCACTGAACCCTCTGGCTGCAAGTGCATCAGAAAACTTTCCCAAAAGGGCACTTTGGGGATGTAGCCTACATCTCTGGAAGGAATTGAATGGGGAGCATGTCTCTGCTAATGAAAGCTGCAGCCAGAAATAAGAGTTCTGAGTTGGAAACTAGGTTAAAAGCAGCCAGCAATGGAAAGCAGCTAAAGATGGAGTGGGTTAAAGAGCTCTTCAGCGTTAGACGGTGGATGGTTTAGCTTCACTCCCAGCTCCTGAGTAATGCAGTCCTGGCAGATTGACAGGGCTTCTGGGGTGAGTTGTCACAAGATGCTTCAGCTTGTTGGGTTTTTTCCCCTTAGAGTTTTATTTTTAGTTGAATTCTCTTAGCACACACTACAGTGACCCCTGCTGCTGCCAGCAGTCAAGGACCCATCTTAGTACAACCATTAAACTATGGGAAAGCATTGCCTGTAGTCTTAAAAACAGATAGTATCATTTATAACCCTGAAGTATGCAGAAGGTCTGCTGCTAAACTCTACACCACCAAATAAGAAAGCATCTGTAAACCCTTGTGATGCTTAGGCTGTAGACACAGTATTTGTGTAAAGAATAAGAATCAGCCAAAGCCTTAAGAATAAACCTGTTCTCCCTTTTGCAAGACTGGGGATGCATGCTGACCAGTTGGACCTCCCACATGGAAAAACTGCTGTACTGCACCACATGCAGGAACAGCATCCTTGTGCTCCTGCTTGGTCCCAGCCACCAGGACTCCTATTTTTCAAGAGCAGTTGTGGGGTAGGAAAATCCTGACAGCAATAAGAATATGAAAGGGTGTTCAAGGCTACTGCCTGTAGGAAAGTGGATGGCAGCTGCTCTGTCTTCTGTAACGCCTTATGATGTGTTAAGAGAAAAGCCTCACACAGCGTTTTGTGTCTGTGTTAACTACCCTGACCCTGGGCTGAACCATCACCTGCCTATTTGAGCTCCCTTCTCAGCAGGATTTTTCTGGTGTGCAAAATCTTAACAGGGACATCAGGATCTTAACAGGACTTAAAAAGAGATAGTGAGGAAATATGAAATGTGTAACATGGTATAAAAGGAAGTTTGAAAAGTTGGAATAGTTAGATGTAAATAGCAAGGTCTCAGTGGAGTGCAGTGCAAACACAGCTGCTGTGTGGCAGGATGGCCAAGTGTCCATTTCCATCAATCCTAGCTGGTGTAAACACCCCCAAGAAAAATTATAAGATGCTCAGTAGGCATCTTCCATGAAACCTTCCTTGATGAGAGCGGCACTTTGGAAAAAAAATTATGGGGTACCAGAGATGTGTCCCAAGAGTTTCTGCAGGGTGAGTACCTAACTGGTGAAGCAAGTTGTGGAAGAGCAGAAAAATACTTTAAAATGAGATTATCCAAGCACTGCTGCCTGTATCCCTGACAGACCAGTGCAGGCTTTCTCCTATGATTTGTTCCCCGGGAATTGCTCTGTTCCAGTTTTAGCTGCTCAGACTATCCCATAGGCTGGAGCAGATGTCAGCTCCGAGGTTGTACCTGACTGTTAATTTACTTTGTGTTAATGTAGGCCCATTACCAGATGCTTTCCCTAATGGTCTACAAGTAAAGCTGTTGTCTGTTCTATCTCATCAAAAGCACTGCATGTTTTACCTGGAGACTGGGGCTGCTGCTCATTGAGAACTGTCCCCACTTCTTTTCTGGATAAATGGGAAAAAAGACAGCTCAGGTGCCTTGCCTGAGCCCAGGGGAGCTGTGCCAAGGGGCAGGTGGTGGGCATGGAGGGGGCCAAGCAGCAGGAGGGATCCCTGGGTCTCCTCGTGAGTGATGCCTGCTCCTCTGCAGGGACAGTCTGACCCGTGGCCATGCTGTGTCCAGTGCACATCCATGGGCTCTGGCAGCAAAGCTCTTCTCCCTGCCTGCCACATTTAGGGATGCCTCAGGTCTGGGGAAAGGCAGCTGAGTTACTGCAGCTCTGTGGAGACCCAGGAGTCCCACTTATGCGCTCTTTCAGAAGTTATCTTTGACCATCTGTCCTCTGAGAGCATCATCCTGAGACAGATCCTTCTGCTTCCGCCTGCTTGCCTTCGTGTAGTTGGCTGCAGACGTTAACCACCTTGGACATTTGTGGCCTTGCCTGACAGCTCTCGCTGTACCCAGGGTGCTGACTGAGGGAGCAGGGTGAGCAGCGAGGCTTTTCTCTGCCCTGCCTTGCTCTCACCTGCTCTTGCTGCAGTTCTGGGAGTGTAGCATATAAAAATGGGGAGCATTCTTGGTGACAGACTCTTCTCCTTCCTGCAACGCTGCACACTACATTGTACAGCTCTGCAGAGCTGAGCCAGAGTGCTTCTGTGCACTGCTGAGTGCTGCTGGATTCCTTATGGCTTCATTATGGCTTGACACTGAGCACTGGGGAATGAAAAATAGATGATGTGGCCGTGACACTTGCTGTAACTCAGCAGGGAAAAAGAAAAGACACCCCCTTGGGAATCTGCCTTCCCATTCCTCATAGCTTCCAGTGTCGTGTGCTGTCTCATAGAGTGCTTGGTGCTGACCTCAGGAGCTCTGAGGCTCTGCTGTCATGAAAAGCAAATGGCTAAACTTGTATTTTACAACAAGCTGCTCCTGTGAGACTTAAGCAAGGACAAGTTGAGGCTGTGACAGAGGGAAACAGCAGGAGGTCCCACAGAGTGGGTCTGTTTTCCCTCAGAAAGCAACCATTGCTTCCCTTTCCCTTGTGCAGAAGCCCCAGTCCTGACCCAAGGACCTTCTGGAGATACGCAGTGATTGCTCTATAGCAGGAAAATGTTGAGCTGTCATTCCCTGGTTCTGAGTCATCCTGCTAAATCTGTGCACAGCAGCTGGCTGAGAAGGGGAGTGGGAGATGGAAAAATCCCCCTTGGGATCAGGATAACAGTCAAGGAACCAAAGTGATGGAGAAAAAGTAAATCAAGCCTCTGAGTGTAGGGATTTGAATGTGGGGCTGGCCTTCGAGATATCTAGATGGAGCTAAGGGAATCCTCACTGCTGGGATGTAACATCTTAGGAGGGTTTATGTGAACCTCAGTGCTGCATAGTTGAGATTGCCTCTGTGTTGGGGGTTTAAGCAAATGCCAGCTGCAAGGAAATAATTTTGTCAGTGGTCTGAGGATGTGGATGCATGACACATGAGAACTGTCTCAGAACAGCTGTGCTTTAATTGGACATTTTCCCCCATTGTAACTACTGCTTCACTGCTGAGTTGCAGGACACAGCTTTTTGGGAATGGAAAGTGAAGGCTGTGGTTCCACTCACTTGTGAGCCCCCTGTACCTGGTAGGATCATTTGTGCAGGGACAGAAACGGGGTGTGGGGCTAAGGCAGCACTGGGGACTTGGCACGACGCAAGCCTGCAGTTGTGGTTTTTTGATTCTGCAGAGGCTTCCCCATTTGAAGGAAATTCCTAAAATTTATTTGCTGTCATTGGGTGACACTTGTTTAGTGAATGTCTGTGACTGTCCCAGTGTAAGCAGGTAGAGGGCTAATGCAGGTCTGGCTGGAGGTGAAACATGTCCTGTAGCAGAGCCAGTGCAGTGGCTCTGCCAGTAGCCTGGCACACAGCACACTGTGTGGTGACTTTTCTCAAGTAGCTGGAAAAGGCATCCTGGCCACGTGCCATTCACCAGCTAAGGTGACAATTAGAAAAGGTGTGTTTTAGTGACTCATAAATAGCTTAGCACATGCTGATGGAGCAGCAGCTCAGTTTTATCATTTCAGCTTTGCATCCCTAAAGTGCCTGTTAGAAAAAAAATAAAATATCAGTGCCTGAAATATATGGGCTAAATTCAGACCTCCTGGAGCAGTATCAGTTAGATCAGAGAATCCAGTCCCAGCTCTCTAACATTATTGGAAAATCCTCTGCACACACCCTTCTCTCCTCTAACCCTTCCTCAGTCCATTCTGTGGCTGCAGTTACAGCTTTAGCAGTGCTGAGCTGCGTTTTGTGCTGTGCCAGGTCCATCACGTGTGCTGTGTGTGGTCCAGGTTTTGAACTTTGCCTGTGGGAAGTAGACAATCATTGTGGTCCTTGGCCTTCAAGGCCTCTGGTAATGCCTGATAAAGAAATGGCCGATTTATGTGCTCACACACAGAAGCGTTTTCCTCCTGTATTTTAATCCTCTTGAAATTCCACCCATTGGTCATCTATCTTTTGTGATTTCCTCTTTCTTGCTGTGCTTCACAGGAATATTCACATAACAGCACTTCATCTTTGACCTGAACACTTCTTACTCCTTCCTAATTTGCCAGATTATGCATGTTTTGAAATGGGATTTGCTAGAATTTTTATTCCATCTTAAGTGAAATATCTTTAGCTGCTGAGGAAAGTAGGATTTTTACTTTCAGCAGAGTTCTCCAGGGTCTGATAATCACTCTGAGCTGCCTGTGTGCTGGCACTGCTGTGTTTTCAGCAAAAGCAGGGTAAGGCCATTACTGAGTATGTCACACATCAGCAGTGATTCCTGTCCCTGGGAGCCAGCCCTGTTACCTGTCACTGGTGTAGTTATTGCAAACTGCTGTTGCTAACTTTTAGAAGATCAGGGGCCTTTCTTAAATCCCTGAGCCATTACGTAAGAATGATAACTTGGCATATTTAGATTTCTTGGTTCTAATGGCTGCAGAGAAAAGCTAACAATAGAAACATTTAAAGATGCTGGACCATGAGTCAAATGCAAAAAGGAACCCAAAATGTGTTACTCAGGTTTGGGTTTTCTCTTACAGGAGCGGGTGAAGAAAGTGGTTCTGCCTTGCTGGCAGGGTCTGAGCCTGGTCATACCAACTGCCTTCATCATTTGTCCTTCACACCACTGTCAGCCAAACACTCCTGGTATTCCTCAGTTGTCTGAATTTGTTTGAGAATCTTACAGAAGTGTTTTATTTTGATAAGGTCAAAGCCTTTCCTTACAATTTTATTTTCATAATATTGCCAAAATACTTCAGTAAAGTTGATGTACTTTAGAAAAATGTAATTTTAAGAAAAATAACATGGTATATTTTATTTTTTACTACTGCCCGAAAGTAATAGTGTGCTCTAAGAAAGAGACAAATAATTTTTTCTTAATTCTCTTGCATTCTGGTGAGGACTATGCTACACGAGTAACAGAAAAGTAAATTTTCCAGATAGAAAGTCTCAACTTCAGTTCACCTGGAAAAAATGTACCCAGTAGGAAGCCCTGTCCTAACAACCTAGGATTTCAAGGGTATCTCTTATAAAGGTCTTGTAAATCCCATCTTCAAATTTCTTGAAATATTAATTTTCCTTTACCTACATAGACCCTTTATAACTGTGCTGTAATATTATTATTTAATACCTAGCTTTTGTTTTTCTTCCTTTGAGAACCAGCAGGGACAAGTCTGTGTGTCGGTCTGATAAAGAACCTTAGCTGTGCTACAATGCAGGCACTGGGAATTTCATGTTCCAGAATAGAGGTCTTTCCAGAGAAATCTGTTTCAGATGTGTCTGTGCACTCTTCAGCTGTGGTGGCCACTTAATGAGTGAGGGTCTGAACTGTGGTGTCCTGATAGTGGCTTTTCTGTCATTGGAGCAGCTGTGAATTGGAGCAGAAATTGTTTCTTGTACCATCGTTCCCAAGGCAGGCAGGCAAGTACTTGCTTGTCTTGATGAGGCTGTGCCACATGCGTTGTATTAGCATGCCAGAATAAATACACTTCAGGTACAGACAACAGTAAAAGGCTCTGTAAGTGTCACTGCAGGTAGGCAGATGGGGAGGCTCGTGCTTCCACAGATGCTGCTCCCCACCTCAGATGCCCTCTGGAACATTAAGAGTGAGTTTTCTGGAGGGGAAGGGGGAGATGGCTTCTTGAATGGTTGGTCTTTTGTACTTTCACCCTCAGAAAATCCCCTTTATTAAGCCTGACAACTTTTCCCTGTGAGGTGGATAGATTGGTCACACTCCTAGATGAGGAAAGCATGTCCCTGCCTGTTCACGCAGGGAGCTCGGGGGAAAGCCAAGAGCACATCCTGAATTTGGAAGCTGCACCTATTCCAACTCTGCCTTTGCCTTGGTGGCTGCCTACTGAGAGCAGAGGAGCCAAGGGGCTGTTGGTGGGCAGAGCCCAGGAGCTCTGCTGGCCAGCAGGCTGGCTTGCTGCCCACCTCCAAACCCTGGCTCAGCTGTGATCTGCTGCCCTCAAAACTTGGGTCATGCCTCAGGCAAAGCCATCATTACCTACTGTGGATTAATAACCTCAATTACTGGAGCCCTGTGGGTCAGATCTCCCCCGTGCTGGCTGCATTACAGCCCTTTAATCTGCTTTCCTCTCTCATAACCTCTGAGCCTGGAGGGATCGGCAGGCGGGGGAGATCTGCCTTCCAGCGTGGTTCCCCTTGGGAGGGCTGCAGATGTGAAACTGCTGGCAGGAGACCTGAACCCCCAAAGAGGTGCACCTAGAAGGTGCTTTTGCAGCTCTTGGGTTCAGAGGACAAGTGTGGCAACAGCTGGAAGTTTGCCTTGAGCTCCATCTGCAAAGAATCACAGCAGCCATCCTGTGGGGGGCTGGCAGTCAGGTTTGGTCATCTGGGTAAGGCACTGCATGGCTCTTAGGGGGGAACATCCCCCCAAATTCCTTCATGTTCCCTGAGCAATTGGGTAAAGGTGAGGCAGAAGTCTGCATTTCTAAGATGCTTCCTTACTGGAAGGAATGTTTCCCTTAAATGAAGAAGGGCAGGTCTCGTCAGTGGGGAAATTGCCACTGTTGAAATTCTTGTGTTGAAGAGGGACTGAGCTATGCAATCCTGGACATGCTCCTAAATGATCTTGAAGAGTGAGGGGTTGAAGAAGAGACAAAAACCTTGGAGTCAGAGAAACAGAACTGGACACAAAACAGCTGCAGAAGGAGCATCTGAAAAAGAGCTCAGAGGAAAAAGAGGAGCATCTGCTGAACTAGCAACAGTATAAACTGAAGTGGAATGCAGGGTAATGCACCCATTGATGAAACCCAAATATATGGGGGAGTGTGTATATATAAATCTTACATAAATATAAAAATACAAAACTAAATCTAAAAAAAAATAAATTATGGTCACTCAGAGTAGGGGGTGTTACTGGGGTCCATTTCCTCAATGGAAAAAGACCACAGAGAAAGTGTGAATCTCTCTGGAAGTGCTAACTCAGCAGATGCAAACAGAAATTATTGGAAAAGGTAGAGAAAGCAAATAGGAGCTATCATCCTGCTGTGCTAGAAATCCCTGGAGCACTTGCACCTTGAGTAGTGTGTGCAGCTCCAGTTATCCTGTCTCAGAAAAGATGTGATAGAACTAGAAGGGCACAGGAAACAGCGACAAGGTCAGTGGAGCGTGAAGAGTTGCTGCTGCCCAGGGAATGATGGAACAGATCAGGCATTTTCAGGTGTCTTCAGAAATGAAACAATAGAGGAAGGAAATACGACAGAGGTGTAAAAAACCATGACTGTTGTGGAGAACATAAAATTAGCATTTCACAATATAATCTTAAAATGCTCACCTTCTAAGTTAAGGTGAGCATTAAATGGAGCTATGGACAAGGAGTTTTAAACTAATAAAAGCCTTTTTCTGCCACATGATTAACCTGTAGAACTCCTTGCCAAAAGATAGCGAGGAGGCCAATGGTATTACTGGTTTCCAAAAATGAGTATAAAAATTAGCTGGGGAGAAATCTGTTAAGGATTCTTAAACACATTGTGAGACATCCTGTAGATGAGGGCATCTGCTGGGCAGTGGAAGTGGGTGGAAGGAACAGTGTCTGGTTGCCTTTTTTTCCAGATTATCTGTTCTGAGCTGCTCATACTACTGCCAAAATAATGGAGATGCCAAAATAAAGTAGAAGTTCATGTTCTGAGGAAGTGTCACGCTACTGAAAAATATTCAGAACAACCACTTCTCCCTAATTCAGACTAAAGATATGTGATACACAAAGCCTTCTTTACATGTAATATTAGATTTCTTCTTAATGTCAGGAAATTGAACTCCTGAGTACTCATTACTATAAGCTTTTTATGTGTCTGGGGATAAACCTATTAAATGATCAAGGCTATGTGCCATCTTTTCTTTTGCTCCAGAACCTGCTTTGGTGAGCTCAGAGGGGCTGAGATTTTACCAAGTCAGTCTGTCCAGCGGGACCTGGAGTCGGTGGTTTCTGTTCACTCTTGTTCAGAAAAGCAACTAAGAAATTAACCTTTCTTGTCTGATGTATAAAACCAAGCTCTGTCTTCGTTTTTTTGTCTCACCTTGTATTTGCTCTCAGAAGGTGTGTGGTTTACTTTATCCATGATAGAGTTTCCAGCAGAATCTTTGCCTTATAATGACTGCAGTTTTATATCAGGAAAAGGCTAATCCTCTCATTAAATCACCAGAATGAGGACTGACAGATGATTCCCTACTTGTCCACAAATTTATTGTGTGACCTTCAGCAAACCCCTCAACTTTGTGCTGCAGTTCCCACTGTCTCTGGTGCTGTGCTTTGGTGGAGCTGGGTGCAGCAGGAGTTGTGTGTGGATGGTATGTCCCTGAAGCAGACTCCACCATCCCTCCTTGCTAAGAGTGCTCTGCTTCATAAAGAAAGGGAAAAGGGTAAGCAGAAATTCCCAGAGAGTACAATGGTGACAGTGGCTTGCACTAAAAGGGCTGTAGTTTTTGGCCCGTAGATAGATTTTGCTCGAACAGCTCCTGCAAGGAGAAGTGTTGTGGAGTGGTTCTCTGCCACCAGTGAAAAATACACAACCACTCATCACATATGGACCCACAGAGTGAGCTTTGAGAAATGAGCACCAAGTGCAAGGAGTTTTGTAAATTTACAGAGAGAGAGGGACAAGGTCCAAGCACTGCATCAGCACCAGCTTGGACAAAGCCCTTAAGGTTAATGGGCCCTTTCTCATGATATCCGCATGTGTTTGGCCAGAAAATACAACAAGGGCAGAGACTTGCAAAAAAACTCAAACCAGCCAACCAGAAATAACACACCTGCACAAGCTGTTTGTCTATGTACCCATCACAGGGTTCAAAGAACTACAAGTCAGTATGGGTGAAAACAGAACAGCACAGATCCAGCACCTTGAAAGATTATTACTGCCTTTGTATGAACACAAGGAAATTACCTTTCCTGGCTAGTCTGTTCTTGGAGCTTTTGTGGATTTTCTTTATTTTTTGGCTTTTGTAACTGCTGAACTCATACACATGCTATTTTAATACCTAGCAAAGAGCCTTGTCGGCTAAATCACCTTATTTTTCTCTGATCAGAGTGCAGTACATTCCTCTTTTTAGTAGAAGGTATTAATTTAAATTCCATAATCCAAAACATATTCTTGTTTCTGTTCAGTGCTTCAGAAGGCCAATGGCATTTTAATTTAATAAGGGAGAAACACACATGACGCTGTGTTCCCTGTAAATGTCTTCTGACCTCAATGAGGCTTTCACAGCTTTCTCTGTGTTCCAGAAAATGTAGTCCCTGCTTTTTATGCAAGCACACTATAGTTTCTAATACCTGTGTTCTACCAGTGGCTAAAAACTGAAATATCTGTAGCGTTCTCACGATAACTTTTGAGATGTTATTTGCATTATTATTTAGTAGTGCGAGCTCATCAATGGAGCCATAGTGAGATTTATGCACCACTGTGTCCCACTGAATTATTGTTTGGGTACGTGCTGTCCCTCTGCACTGAAATAAATTTTTATTTTGGTTTACCTTGTTTTCAGATTAAAATGAGTTAACACATCTAGCAATGTCTCAATTTATGCCAGCTCCATTTATCTTTTCAAATTATTTAAGCTTTGTTTACTGGGCGAAGATTTATCTAATTGGGTACATGATATTACTAAGTATTTTGTGGCATGTAAACACTTGAGTCATATGCATCACAGTTCTTCCTTTACCATTTTTATGCTACCATTTTGCTGTCTAAACTTACTTAAACCTACTCAGTTTGAAAGAGCACGTGCTTGCAGTCCTTACGGCACTTCTTTGGAAATGTCAGGTAATATTCATTATTTTTCACTGGTTTGAGTTTGCCCTTCTTTTCTCTAATGTGAGTCAGGAACTGACCCCTTAGATTGTGCCCCACAAAAGCTGGATTGTCAGACTTGCTGCAAGGTTATGAAAACTCACCAAAGAAATGGGGATTATTTTATTAGTGGTTTTATGCGTTATTTTGAGTAGATTTTCCAGGAACAATTGTGTTAGTTTATTAAACAGAAGTCTCAAAAATCAGATACCTGTTGCATTTTCATTTTTTATTTTTACAAACATCTGTATCGAGTCCAAGACACTTGCCCTTGCATGTTCATGGGATAAATCTGCCCATTCCCATGCTAGCTTGATATGTGTAACACCAAAGAGCAGCTCTTCCCTCATACCTAGTGCTGCACTTTTGTCCTGGCATCTCTGAATGAGAGCCCCTCATTTACAGCTCTGTGTTGGCTGCTAAGCAAGGAGGACACCTTGACTTTGGATCTCACTGTGCTGTCCTTGATTGGCCAGATCCAGAATTGTTCTCATCTCAAACATGCTGCTGAAGCATTTGCAGAAAGAGGACTATTATATTTTTGTGCTATTACCAAAGTACTGGAGAACCACCAGTTCTGTTTTAGGGCTTCACTGTTAAAACTACTTCTGGCCTTGTTCCAGCAGGGCTACAGGCTTGCTCTCTGATGATCAGGTGTAGCAGAGGACTGAAGGACAACTCTGGGTGAAGGGGAGAGGTGACAGGTGTAGTCGCAGCTTGGTATCTGCCCTGACATGGCACTGTAGT